GCTCTATGTCTTTAATTAATCATTACTGCAGATGCTAATGTTGCTGGTTGTTCGCACAGGATATAGCGACATTTACAATTACTAAGGTTTGTTCTAGTCAGTTTACTGGTGTTTGCGACATTATTCACCGCCCAAAAAAGCATGTCTTAACCCCATTTGCACCTGTGTTGTTAGATGCTAGTTTGTGCTGCTCTTGGTAGACTGCGCTGGTCATTATGAAAATGTTCCAGATCAGCCGCAGAACTTTACACTCCCATCGGCGCTTTTTACACTCATTTGTCCGGTTTCGTAAATCTGGTCTTTTGTAATACACATGTTGAGGTCTTTGGGTTAGGTAACAGGTAATGTTTAAACCAAAAAAAATACAATGTTTACACTAGGGCTGTTAAAATGGACACGTTAATTGTGCAATAAATTTTTTTCAGTTTAATGTGTTAAAAATATTTTACATAACGCAGAATCCATTTTTTTCCTGGGATCCCTTGGCTAGCGTTACAGGGGACTTTATGAACACGCTATCAAGCACGATAAGACGTGAAAGAGAAGTCAACTCGTCTGTAGCTATGTTTCCATCACCCTGTTTTAATGCGCATTTTGAAGTATCGCATGAGAAACGAGTGATGGAAACGCCAAATTTCGAAAAGAAATCCCTTAATTTGCAAAAAAGTTTTTACGCTCGCTTGAGGTGGTTTTTGACTTGTGCAAAAAAGGGTTAATGCGAATAATGGTAGATGGAAATGCATTTTGCGAATAAATCTCGCATGAGCGTTCAAAAAAGTAATGTGACTTTGCGCTATGGGACAGCTTAACCTGACTAACCCGCGGACCGATTTTGTTGCATAGCATCTGAAATGTTTTCATGATCATTCTGGAGTGCCCGAGCAAAGTCTGTCGTCAAAGTATTTCTGTATAACTGCCTCCCAGAACGATCTACCACGCCTGCGTTCCCAAACAGCAGCATCCACCTCCGAAAACAAGACCGCATCTATTGTGTTTCGCCTGCTCACTCAAAGTGCAAGTCATTTATTATATTTGAGAATTATTATATTCAGTGGCTTCTCTTACTTTTCTTAGTGATATTTAGTGCTAGTTTATCAGGAAGTGATGATTTTGTTCTCTCTGACTCGTTGGATGGAAACCCGCTTGTTCGCAAATGTTTTATGCGATATACCAATTTTGTGCATAAGTTAAATTCGCAACTTTGGATGGAAACCCAGCTTGTGAAGCAGCTCTCTGTGAACATGTGCCCGCGCACAGAAAGCCACTTCAACAGACAAAAACACACACAATTATGTCAAAATTCCCGTTTTAGGCGAGTGACCTCGTAAACACAGTCTGAAATGAGTTAAAAAGTAGTTAAACCCGGATGCGTTTCAGATCCATGTCAGGATTTAAAGAGACAGCGCTGCTTTTAAAGTCAAGCCTGCTGCAGTCTGTCACTGAAGGAAGAAATCACTCACTGCTCTGTTCGCTGATTAACTTCTTTAGCTTGAATATAGGAGAATCTACTTTCAATTTATAGTTTATGTGATGTTTTAAGTTTACTTAAATTAAAAGTTATGTTTTTCAAAATCTATTAAATGTTAAAAAAGAATGGTTTTAAATTATACTGTAATGTTGTATGGCTATAATTAATAGGTAAAAGCGCATTTAATAGAGACATCAGTAGCAGTATTGCTATCAGTTATACTGGCCTTCATTAATAATAGGCTACTTAGTAATAAGATGAAATCTTTATGTTGTTTCCGCATTAATTTGGAGATTCAGTGAGAATTATGTGTGTGTGTGTGTGTGTGAGTGTGTGTGTGTGTGTGTGTGTGAGTGTGAGTGTGTGAGTGTGTGCGAGTGTGTGAGTGTGTGTGTGTGAGTAAGTGTGTGTGTGTGTGTGTGGGTGTGTGTGTGTTTGTGAGAGTGTGTGTGAGTGAGAGATATATATATATATATATATATATATATATACATCATCATCATCATCATCTGACTGTCTAATGTCTGATTCGATTTATTTGTATCAAATTTACTTCCAGAGCAAAAGTAAAAATTTTATATTCAGTGGGATTTTTGATGTTCATATGGTAAACAAACAAACAAATAAATGAATAAAGAGGTGACAAAAAAACTGAAATCCAATTTCCGCTGCATTAATCTGCAGTGTGAACGTAAGCTTTACGTCCAGACAAACTGCTGATTCAAAATGAAAACGATCACGTTCAGTTCCTTCCACTGATACTGTAATGTCTGCGAGGTCTCGCTCAGTTTGCGCACCACTTTTAAGTCAATATTACACGAGCAGGAGAGCTCTGCAACACAAATACTATTTAAACCCTATTCCACAGACGCTTTCGGCTCATAACGTCCTTGAACCTGCTGCATGGCAGAGCGCCTTTGGGTTCTGATCCGTCGTCATGTGAGAACGCTCTCTCCTCAGCTAACAGCTTAACAGCAGCCGCGCGCAGATCTTCCGTCCTAATCCACTGCGAGATCCAGCATTAAAGCTATGAATGGCCTCCTGAAGGATGCGCTCACCAAACAGACATCTCCATTCCCCTCAAGCCTCCTCCAGCTCCGTCTCGCTTCATTATGCAGCGAGCCAGTAAACGGCCAGAACTTCTCTGGAAAGGCGCAGCGACTAATTTATTTGATTCAGCGAATCTGTTATGAGCACAACTTTGATCAGCGTGCGGATGTTTTAATAAGTTTTAATTTCATTTACGCATCCCAACGCACCCAGTCTGAGTTAAAAACCTGAAAATCCCTTCTGGAGGAAGAGAGGCTGTGTTTTAATGTTTTGCTAATAGTGGTCGTGCTAATGGTGAGTGACGTGGTGGGTTACGCAGGGCTGCAGCGCTCTAATGAGACTCCTGCCGCGCTCGCTCGTGCTAATACACGCGTAATAACGCTAACTCCAGACTGACGCAGGCCTGACCATCAGAAAAAGGCTCAGGCTAGCGGCTCGCTAACTGATTTCCACCGGTTTTGAGGCATTAGCCTCATGAGTGTAACCGTTCAAAACAAGTTCGTTCAGCAGGTAACCGTAACTCAACTCCCTGAGCAGGAGTTACTGACACCAACAGCTCTGTACGGAATAGTAGCGTTCCCGTAACAAGCCTGGAAATCTTAATAAAACAAGAGCTCCATAGAAAAGTAAGAATTTTTTCCCAACTTATCAAAACTAAGAGGAAGGAGATTATCAGAGACTTTTTCTCTTTTGTCCCTCTGTTACAATCACACACACTCTCTATCTCTCTCACACACACACACACACACACACGCTCTCACACACACACACACACGCACGCACTCACACACACACACACACAGACACACACGCACGCCCACACACACACACACACACACACGCTCTCACACACACACACACACGCACGCACTCACACACACACACACACAGACACACACGCACGCCCACACACACACACACACACACACGCTCTCACACACACACACACACGCACGCACTCACACACACACACACACAGACACACACGCACGCCCACACACACACACACACACACACGCTCTCACACACACACACACACGCACGCACTCACACACACACACACACAGACACACACGCACGCCCACACACACACACACACACACACGCTCTCACACACACACACACACGCACGCACTCACACACACACACACACAGACACACACGCACGCCCACACACACACACACACACACACGCTCTCACACACACACACACACGCACGCACTCACACACACACACACACAGACACACACGCACGCCCACACACACACACACACACACACGCTCTCACACACACACACACACGCACGCACTCACACACACACACACACAGACACACACGCACGCCCACACACACACACACACACACACGCTCTCACACACACACACACACGCACGCACTCACACACACACACACACAGACACACACGCACGCCCACACACACACACACACACACACGCACGCACTCACACACACACACACACAGACACACACGCACGCACACACACACACACACACACACACAGAGGTGGGTAAAATCACACTGCTTTCACACGGGATCACGTTGCACTGCTGTTTTCTTTCATTTACCCACAGAGAGCACAGCTGACAAGGTCAACACTTGCATCTCGTGTGGATACTCTATATACACCTCCATTATATACGTTTAAAAGGCTTGTGTAAAAGAAAGGGGGAAATGTTAGGGGGGTTAGGGAAATTGTCCCGACATTTTGCTGCTTCCAGGGGTTTAGGTTAAAACCAAAGACTCAAAGGAGGGAATCAAAACCTTTTCTCTCAAACTTTCCCCACGCTTTTTTCTTCCTCTCTATTCTGCCGATATAAACAGTCACCTTGTTCTTTTCAGGATGAAGTACTTCTGCACTCCTCTTCGTGAGAGCAGAAGCATGTGTTGCATTTCAGAGCTTAGAGCAGGGCTGGGAGACGATGCTGAATGTCCAGTAACTCTACTTTTTTCTTTTTTGTGCGTGTGTAAACCGAGAAGAGATGTCTATCTATCCTAACAGCTTTTAAATCAAGTCACTGTTTCATAATTCTAGCAAAGGTCGTCACTCAACACACTTTGTCACTTTACAAAACAAGAATGACACTCTCTACTGTTCAGAATTCACTGCATGACCCAATACAATATTACTGTAGAAATGTAGAAAACTGCTGTCTTATTCGTTTTTGAATTATGTAAGATTTTCAACTTAAGTTAGAGAGTTTTGAAAACGTGCAGATTGGCCTGTAGGTAAAGAATTGATGTAATTTGAAGGATTTAGTCGCTGAATGCATTTTGCACCAAAGCAATGCTAAATGATCCACAGTTTATCCACAGAGCTTGCTGCTGAGCTGCACTGTGTGAGAGTCTAGAGAAAGAGATCGAAGTATTGAGAGATGGGTCCTACGATTCATACAAAACTAATAAGCCAGGGATAATGACACTACACTCATATAAACAGGAAGTGCTCACAGGTCTCGGGTGTCTTCAGCTTCCTTCAGCCGCTCGCTCATCGTTCTGTAGTTGGTCTGAATGACACGCAGCCGGTCGTGATGCTTGGCGTGGGCTCGTCGCAGATCCTCATTCTCCTGAGTCTGTAATTACAGAAGAGCAGACAGACACACTTAAAATCTCTGTCGTGTGCACATGTAACCATGACGATCACATGAGAGTTTAAAAATCACAATCGTTTGCAGATCTTTGATCGATAACAAAGTGTCACATTCAGGGTTTTTTTCATAATCAGACTTTTATTAATCCTGTATTTCCATACAGAACTAACTCATACCATCTCATAATAAGCCATGTATTTCAGATTCTTTTATTTAATTAAATAGGGTGGGGCACCCACAACAATTAAAATGTAATGAATTGGTTCATGTACTAATATATAAATACATACGAATTAGAGGTTGATCGATATTGGATTTTGCTGACACTATAATAATGCGTTTAAAGAAAGGCAATACAAATATTTTTGTGTCTAAATAAATAAATAAATAAAAATAATTACAGTAATTATTATTATTATTCTTGAGGCCGCTAAAATATTACAACATTTTACCGTAAAGTGTCATAATTGCAATCACTTGGCATAAATGCACAGTACTCATTGATATTAAACTGCTCTGAAAGGCCAAGCACGTTTGGATGTTACATGTCCAGCACTCACGTTTATTTCATTAAATTATCACCTTATCACATCAGCAACTCCTGTTTCTCTGTTCTCAAATTTAAGATCTCTTAAAATAATAATGAAGAATTCTGATATACCATTAAAGGCATTTATGATTTTTTTTGGCCTTAAATTTGATCAAACTAAATTAAAGTCACATTGCAAAATATAAAGTACATTTTTTGCCCATACTGACAAACAGTGTTGGGCTCGTTACTCCAAAAATGTCATTTATTACTCGTTACTATTTAAAAGTAATATTATTACTTTCTGGCAACAGTAATTAGTTACACTACTAGTTACATTACTTTTCCTTCACGTGTTTCTTCTAAAATGTTTCTAACAATATATTTCTGCCTCATCATTTGACCAAAATGATTGATAGTGACTTTTCAGTAAAAGTGTTGTATTAATTGTGTAGCTTGAAGCTAATGGTAGCTATACTTTCTCTGTGACCCATTTATGATTATATTTCATGAAGTATTTTATCAGAAGAAATCACATAAGTTCATAAGATGTTTAATTATAGTAATATAATTAATATGGGGATCAGAGGGATGATGGTGTAATACCAGAGTAAAGTAATGCCACAGCTTCCACATCAGTGCTCAGATCAGCTTTTCTCCTGACTAAATCAGCGTAATGCCAATATTTCCATCCCCTGAATGTAAGCTTTTCCATATTCCAAGCTTTCCTGATGCACTGGTGACGTCATGTGCGAGTCGTGAGAATTATGAAAATAAATCTAGCAATTATTGGATTGTTGGATTTCAAATCAGTAGGGGTTGAGGCATCAAAAGCAACTAGCTGTTTTATGGATGGTAATTGTAATCTTAATAGTAATTAGTTACACTACTAGTTACGGCAAAAAGTAATATTACTGCAACTAGTTACTAGTAACTAGTTACTGTCCAACACTGCTGACAAAACATCTTTAGTGCCACTAATGCAGTGGATTGTGTAAAAGTAACCAAAACATCTCATTGGCAGGGCAGTTGTCTTTACAGTCCAAGGAGAGAAAAAAAATCTGACAGCTCAACATAGAAAAAAATTAAAACTGTTGGCCTGTTGCCATGTGAACGCTCATACCTGATACCCCGTGTGAATATTTCTATTTTTAAGTGTCCTTGCCCTGAACATTAGCATCTGGTGTGAACAGGCCTTACCCGACCACAGGCCACACTAACAGATGACTCTTCACATACTTTTCCACAAAATGTAGATTTTCAGGCCACTTCAGGCTGATTGAGAGACTAGTATCTGCTTAGTCTTCCTAAATCAAAATATACACGAGTGCACGGCTGACCAATCAACCATCAGCTCGTGTTTGGACTTCTGCATGCCACATAATGCCAGGAATGTTTTGAGAGGGTTTTGGAAAGAAAACACAGGTGAAGGCACTGTGCTACGGGTGTACGATAGACTGTGCAAACACCTTCCATATGGAGAAAACGGCCAAGCCATCGCAGTGTGACCCTTTCAACAGCCAATCACAACAGAGGAATGGAAAAGTGCCATATTACAGTCTCCTCCACTTCAGAAAAGATATGCTTTTAATAAAAGACGCACCTGGTTCTGAGTCTCCAGCCTGTGAGGTAAAAACACGAACACATACAAGCGTATTTCCGCTCCCAACAGCAAACTCAAGGAGCATTCCTCAGCAGCGGAGCGATCATCCAAACGCACGGAACATAAACAGCAATATAAGAACATCACTGTCCAGAGAGCTCGGCATTATATGATTATCTAATGATACTGCATAACTAATGTCAGTTTGATTACAAAGCGAACCTGAGCCCACATAACATATAAGCCTAGTGTTCGTTATTTATTTTTAAATATAACAAAGACTGAAAGCATGAGGATTTTTATTGATTTATTTACAGCAAATGTGGAGCCAATTGGATATTTAATTCTTAAATGAATTTTTGGGATGAAGTCCTGTCATTGGAAAATGTAAAACTTTTAGAGTTCAAATAAAAATGGTTTGAGAAACCCATTTTTTTCTTCCTAGAAACAGGTGATTAATAGGATTTATTTTCTCGCCATTTACAAACTATGAAAACAATATTATGTATTTAAAAAGAGAGATTTCATATGCATATGTATCTATAGCAAGTGAAGGATATACACCAGAGTCTTCAACTAAAATTGCTTGAGGTCCGGACATTTATATAGGCCTACCTAAAAACATGAATTGACAGTTTTTGCCAGACCAGGGTATCTGCAGGATATTTAAGCTCATATTTAAGACCTGCAAAAATAACATTAAAATTACTGTAAAAAGCATGATTTAGCGTTCAGATACAGGTTTTCACAAAAAAAAAAGTTTTTTTTTTAAATGATTAACTTAACATTTTCAGCATTTAAACCATCTTTTTAAAAAAATGGAGGCAAAAGTATAAATTATTATATTAATTTAAACAATTACTATCAATCAAATATTATAGTCTATTAATTAAATAACATATAAATATTTGTTACTGTCTTAATTGTATATATTTTTATAATGCATCATCTTCTTGTCGATCCACTAGTTCACATTTACAGCTCTGCGTGTTTGCTGCATAAAAACGGGTTGATTTTCACATTGGTCTGAACAAAAACAGCAGACGGCTTTATTAAACTGCACACTGATTCTCTGCCAGCAGGAGGCGCTTTCGGAGCGGCAGACATACAGCGGTTTCCCTGGTAACAGCTGTAAACAAAGCAGCACCTGACTTTGAAATGCAGCGCTCGTGTTTATTCAATGAAATCATCGCCTTTTGAAGTTTAATCGTAACATTACGCTATATTGCAATTCTTGTCTTGCCGTACCCAAGTTTAAGACCTCCTGAAATCATAATTAAGACTTTCTTGTACCATTTAAGACTTTTTATGGCCTTAAATTTGATACAACTAAATGTAAGACTTTCTAAGGACTTTTCACTCACTGAAAGTTTCATGTGTCTGCTCCGCGCTTGTATGTGAATCTCTGTTAAAATGTAATTTATTCCTGTGATCACAGCTTATTTTTAGCATCATTACTCCAGTCTTCAGTAGTGTATATCGTTAGAAAAGATTTCTATTTTGAACAAATGCTGCTCTTTTTAACTTATTATTCATCAAAGAATCCTGAAAAAAGTATCACAGGTTCCAAAAAAAATATGAAGCAGCAACAGTTTCCAGCTCTGATAATAAATCAGCATATTAGAGTGATTTCTGAAGATCATGTGACACTGAAGACTGGAGTAATGATGCTGAAAATACAGCTGCGCATCACAGAAATAAATAATATGTTATAGTACGTTAAAATAAAAAACAGTTATTTTAAATTGCAGTAATATTTCACAATTTTTCATTTTTTCAGCATTGATGAGCAGAAAGGTTTCATTAAAAAACATGAAAATTCTTACTGATCCCAAACCTTTAAACGGCAATATATACATACATATACATATTAACACTGCCACCAACATAAGAACACACTGAACATTTACTGACTGAACTCTGGGAGCTCAGAACTTCTTATTTTTATTTGTGAATGTCACCCATTTACTTTACTTTCACTGTGGGAGCAAAGTAGGCTCACGTTTAGAAAAGAAAACATCAGGATCCTGTGACTCTAGGGTCTATAGAGCCTAAAATTAAGCTTGTGTCACTGATTTCAGACAGAACGCAGACTTTCTTAAGATGAGTCATAAGAACAGGTCATGATAAGAGTACAGAAACATCCATATTAAAAAAGGTTCCGATTAACCCGTTATGTTTGGTTATTGATAAGTTCGTGGCATGAAATGAAAAAATCACCCTATCTATGTTCTCTTGTTGTGAACGAATTTTTTTCTTTTTGGATAATCCGCTACTCTCAGATGAATGTGACCAAATTCAGTTTCATTGTGACTTAAAATGAAAAGATAAAGGTAACAACATCAGTTTGTCTTACTGTAAGATAAATCGATATCATAAAAATATACTTACTCAGATAAAATATGCTTATTCATTTGTAATATTTCCTAGTATATTTCTTGTTGATAATACATCGTAAGCCTGCAGTAACTCACAAAAATTCACATTTCTAACGTACCACACAATCGTCTTTGATAATTCTCATATTGTTAAAGTGAAATTTCTCTGCTAGCGACACTCAAGCGCACTTTAAGCTAACAGACCAAAGTCACTACATCATTGGCAGCAGGTGTGAAGATCACTACCAAAGTTTTATCAAAGAGAGGCTGTTTTTTCCTTCTGGATTTGTTCTTCTCTGGGAACGAGGCGCTGATAACCTGCAGCATTATTGTGGCCTGACATTTCTCCTGTCAGCCAATAGGAAAGGCTGAGTTCTCCCGGCACTTAAACCCCGCAGCAGGAGGAACGCCTCAGTGAGCCGGGTTGCTCCCCAAATGCCCGTAAATATTGGTCTTTACTTCACAGCTATTT